ATTTTTACATCATAAATATTTTTAGTTGCTTACTCAAACCTTTAAATTTTATATAGTAATTTTAGGCAGGAATCCAGTGATTCCTACATATAAACATAAAATATTTTATAAGAAAGTCCCTTTGAAAATTTGTATATTTAAACTTTGAGATTCATATCATGTGTTAAAAGTACAATTTTAGTTTATATCAACGTAAAGGATGGTTATGTTGGGGGTGAAAGTTGAAGTGCAAGTTCTTTAGAAAAACAGATGCCTTCACAATCAGGTAAATCTGTGACAACAAGTTTGTTAAGATCCTCCTCTTCATTATCAAAGTTAGCAACAAATTTCCTTTGTTTACCAAATCTGATAATATAGAGACCCACAAACCCTTTAAAGTTAATCAAAAATTTTTCAACAATTTTCTTTTTATTAGCATTATTTTTACTTGGTATTTGATCAATTAAGATTGCTGCATAAAAGTTTGTGCATTTATTGACCACTACCCAATCTTGTGTCATACTGTCATCTTCCACATTTGAAACAGAATTTCTAATAGAATTAGACATGTTTGTTGAGTCTTCAATAGAATGAGGTGGGGTTGGTTCTTTTTTGTTAATAATAGATGCATTTGCTGATGTTGCAACTGTTTGATGTGTATTTGTTGCATTTTCATCTATTTACATCATATTTGAATTAGAAGCTTTATTAACTTCTACAATAGATTCTTTCTCATGTAAAATATGCTTTTTATTAGCTTGTTTTCTAGTTTTGGAGTTATAATGTTTAGTCATTCATCGTATTTATTATTATTATTTGTTTTTTGATTTTTATTATGCAAAAAAAATTTTTTTTGGTAATTTTATATTTTAATATTGATGTTAATTTTATATTTAATAATAAATTCCGATTTAGTAATTTTACATTTTAATATTGATGTTTTGATTTAATAATTTTGCATTTTAATATTAATATTAATATTCAGTATTTAGTAATTTATGTTTTAATATTAATATTTAAAATCTAGTAATTTTACGTTTTAAATTAATATAAAAATTTAGTAATTTTTTTACGTTTTAAATTAATATTTAAAATTTAGTAATTTTTTTACATTTTAATAATGAATTTGCTTTAGGAATATTAATTAATATATTAACATTAATATTTAATATTTAGTAATTGCATGTTTTTTTATGAAAAAAATTGCATCCTTATAAACCATTGATAAGTCTACTAGATTTTTACAATGTTGTGCAATTGATTGAAATAGTTTTCCCAAAAGTTCATTATTGTATATATTAACACAAAAATCCAGATATT